ATTTCCTTGAGCAACAAAAAATAGATGTGTTTTCAGAGCACGTTTGAACAAAGCAGTCGACGAACTTGATCTTATTTCAAGAGGTAATCTGTTCCACAAACGGGGGGCCGCAACTACAAAAGATCTGTCACCCCATGACCTCACGGACCTGGGCTCAACCAGCAATCGTCTATCACCTGAACGAAGATTTCGTGATGGCACATGCCACACCAAGAGACTACGTAAATACTCTGGACCTTCAACAATAGATGTTACGAAGATGACAGGATACTACTACATTACAAATTAGCATTATTGATATTCTTTTAAAATGTATATGTGGTGTCAACCATCATACCAACATTACAAACTTCTGATGATTAAGTCAAGAATTGTGTTACCAACTTTTATCAATGCAAAAGTAGTAGGAATGTCGGACGACGATTGGCTTAGAAAACAATGCTTCTGTCTCACTTGAGACAACTAATGAAATAATAATCAATAATTAATTATTTGAATACTACAGTTTTAAAACAGTGATAAAGGTTCATCCAACATTTTGTTAACATATGATTTATAACATGCACTACAATAAATTTAAACAAAGTTAACAATGTAAAATTAATTAGGATGTAAGCCTACACTGCGTTTAAGTATATACATAGAATAAACATCACTTCAACAATTTACAAGGCCACACATCTAATCAAATCCAGCCCTTATTAATTTTTTGAAATTAATTAATCAGTACAAAAAACTACTTAAAAATAAAAAACAAACAAACAAACTTAAAATGTCGTTACAGAATACAGTAAAGCAGAAATGAAAATGCCACTTTACCTTATTGACACGGCCACACCACCATCCAATTTCAGCCCTCCTCATCAATATTTTATTAGAAAATGATGCCTTAATGGAAGTGAAATGCAGAGCAGATTGGCCGGCAATGCTTAGAGGAGTGGCCCCTAATATGTTTAAAATCAATTGAGCAATACAATTAAAAAAAAAATTGTTTAAAACAAACTTTAAATGCCATTATGTTACAAGTTAGTGGGGATCCGATGTAAAGCATCAGGAGTCAATCATCCACCACTATGCACTTTTGTGTATACGGAAATAAAGATACAATACGCTTTTATATACAACCTATACGGGTCTTTCCAACAAAGACTGAAAACCTAATAATGAAGATCTACAATTATTTCTCAATTATGTTATTGAAAATATTTCAAATCATCATAAAACTATTGCAAAGTACCTCTTTCATTATTTTATCGGAAGGAATGAAGAATATCAAGAAATAACTAAGAGTCTTTGTTTTAGAGACACCCAATATGACAAAGAAGCCCATGTCGAAAAGAATACTATTGCGAAAGGAATACTATCTTGAAAAGATTCCATCCAGAGTTGGGTGTCTATAAAACGAAGTCTGAAGACCCCCAAAACGAAGATCTTCTCTTTTATTTTGATGATAATACACCAGGCTGTCGCAAAAAAAAAATTACAATTTTTTTTCGGCGTTTGTTTGTGAAATTTTCAAGGGTCTTTTTTTTTTTTTTTATAGACACCCTATATGGGTGTCTACAAACCGAAGACTGAAGACCCGAAAACCGAAGACCTCCAATTATTTCTCAGTTATTTTATTTGAAGTATTTCAAGATCATCATAAAACAGTTGCCAGGTACCTATTTTATTATTTTATCGGAATAAAATGAGGAATATCAAGAAATACATAAGGGTCTACGTTTTATAGACACCTTATATGAGAGTCTACAAAACGAAGACCGAAGACCAGAAAAAAGAAGACCCACATTTTTTTCTCTCAATCGTGATGAAAATAAAGTTTTTAAATCTTTTCATGTTATGTATACATAGTATTCGTCTTTTTAGCACATTATTGCCTCAAGAAAATAAATGTTTTGTTGAATTGAATTGAATTGAATCTGAGTCATTTTATGACTTACTCTTTATTCCAGTTCCGAAGCGGCAACCAATGTTGTACGTCCGTGGCTGGTGACAGAGCGCGTCTTGTCGCTGCTATCCTCTAAACGAAAGTAGGCCTAAGGTTTGGCCTAACGCTACGCGTATTTTCGGGGCCTACAAAAACCTTGAATATTCCATTCATAAACTTGTTAACCATGTTAAAATAAACAGTAGGAATGCTGTATAGTTACGCATATGTGCAGCATTGGCCATTTGGTAGTGACACCAACATAGGATGGATGAGATAATTAAGGGTCTTCATTTTATAGACACCCTATATGGGTGTATACAGAACGAAGACCAAAGACCCAAAAAACAAAGACCCATATTTTTTTTTCTTGAAATCGTGATGAAATAATGAAATAGGTACTTAATAATGAAAAAATAGGGGTCTTCGTTGTTGGGTCTTCTGTCTTGGTCTTCGGTATTTGTTTTATAGACACCCATCCAGAGTTTGGGAGGAAAAAACAGAGCTTCTGAATCAATTCGAGGTTTTACGGTATGGCTTTAAAGTAATTGGTGTATTATGACACCTGAATAATCAGAGTCGCCTTTACGGTTAAGGAAGATAATATACATTTAGGACTGGGTATGTACACACACACGGCGTAAGGCTGACGTAGCGTACGCCTTTGTATGTCAAAAAAGCAGTGGCGTTACTTTCGCCACCCCCAACGCAACCTCTGTGGCGTTTTAATTAACACTGCCTGCATACCAGTTATGGTTAAATCATTTTGACTCATGTCAAGAGATTGACCAATCATGATTAAAATATCTTGCAATAGATTGGTTACTTTCATGTCTTTCTATAATTGAAATGGTAAAGTTTTATTTTTTTAATTACATTTTTACTTAGTTTACAATGTATATGATGTGTTGATTGTGTTTTTGCAAAATATTTAAAAAAGTAGTTAATAACTACATTTTTTTTTCAAAATTGAGCTTTTGTATTACATGACTCCTGAGGGTATAACCTATCTCCTTAATTCAATAGAAAGCCAAAAATATTAATCTAAATATAATATTTACTTTTTAAAATGGACATATTCTACACATACCACTACAAATAATTTGGAATAAGGCATTAACTACGGTACTAAACACTACTCAGAACATCATTAAACGGTTGACTTCACACACCGGCAGAAAGCAAGTATAATACATACATACATACATTAATTATGTCATCATCAGGCAGAAAGCATCCCTGCCTAGTTTGTTCTAGCATTATTCTGAGGATTAACTCAAAAAAGGCATTATCTACATTGTTTTTTCTGATAACCTGTACGAATCATAAATAATAAACTATGTAAATATTACCGTACATTATGATGTAGCCTTGGTTTTCACATTTAAATATAAAAAATAATTATTTTGAATTGTTTAACAATATAAAAGCGGTGCTTTAAATGTTTTTAGAGCCTGCAAAGTTCATGAACATTTTGGAATAACAGTTAGCATTATTATCCGATGACCATTACAACGATGCGATAAATGAGGATGATAATTGTGACTACGAAAATAATTGAAATAGATTGGTGTGGCATCTGATTAGAAACATCGGTTAAACATGTCCTAAAATGCGGAAAACTTTTCAATTTACCTCTAACCTTACATATAAAAAGCAAAGAAAGTCCACGATTAACACCGCTCCCATCCCCTTCCCCCTCCGACAGCAAGCTGACCCACCCAAGCTCCACCGACACACTATGAATGAAACTTATTTCTTCTAGTTTCTTTATTGGTTTACTTTTTTATACCTTACTTAACTTACAAAACAATTGTTAAATATTACATTAAAAAAATGAGAATCCAACGCGTGTACAATTTTAAAATATTAATTTTATTTTTACATAAAATTTAGAATATGAAAATATTCTTTTATGACATAAATTTACAATATTCATGCACTAATTTAAAATTCATCGACATATTTAAACATTATTGCAGATAATGCCCAAGTGTTAAATTAATAATTCCTATCTATAAGCACAAATAATCCGGAAAAGGCATTTTCTGCATTTTAACCGCTAAAAAATTTTAAAAAATCAGTGAAAAGTGTATGACAAATTTTTGAATGGTATACTTTTAAAAATATACTTGAAAGAATTGAAAATCATTTGTACTTCTTTTCCTTTGCTAAAACCAAACGCATTTTACTCATTTTTTTCAAAACTTGGATTTTGCAGTGAATGCCTTTTCCAAATCAGA